TGTACACCTGGCAACACACCTGTCTGAACTGTACACCTGGCAACACACCTGTCTGAACTGTACACCTGGCAACACACCTGTCTGAACTGTACACCTGTCAACACACCTGTCTGAACTGTACACCTGTCAACACACCTGTCTGAACTGTACACCTGTCAACACACCTGTCTGAACTGTACACCTGGCAACACACCTGTCTGAACTGTACACCTATCTAATTTAAAATGACCTTTTCCCCATAAAAGATAACATTTGTAGTTTCAACATTTGTAGTTTCAACATTTGATAATTACTATGTCACATAATGAATAAAATATGGTTTGTTATTTTTTAAGTCACTGCATTCAGTTTTTATTCCCATTAAATTTGTGGTTTGTATTTATCACAATAAAAAAGTGAAGTTTTAGAAGTTTATGTCTAATTTGTACAACTGTGTGGAGGACACCTCTATTCGAACACAGCGAGTTATTTGTCATCTTCAAGCACGATCTGAGGATCCCGACACGTTGTTTAGTGGCAGAAGGAGCAAATATGTTGTTTTGTTGAAACGGGTCGCAGACGGCCCGTCTAGACTCGTTTAAAACAAACGCCTTCCTTCATGAACCACCTCGACTGTAAATAGTTAGCGGCCGTACCTCTGTCCAGGTCGGGACGATACTTGGGGGTTTCAACAGGAATTTCGATGGAGGAGCAGTTCCAGCGCATGTCGGCGAACGTCTTCTGGCAGGTTGTCTTGACTTCACGAGCGGCTTGGACGATGATCTTCACGGACTCTGGGTGGGCGCGGCACACCTGGGTTTGGGTGGGCACCAGGTTGGGCAGCAGCTTACAGTTCTGCGTGTGGTTGAAGTGCAGAGCGACGGGACTGTTTGATAAAGTTCTGCAAGAAGCACAGCGACAAGACAAAACGCTGAGTACCCGAGTCATAAGTGAAATACAGGCGCGCTGTGCGAGCTCGGGTCGTTGCGCTGCAGACTCAAGCTGCGAACAGCGTCAGCTGGAACCCACAGGAACGCCAGCTGGAACCCACAGGAACGCCAGCTGCAGACTCAAACAAACAAAGGTGACGATTCCTTGTCAGAAAGAACTTTTCTTCTGATTAAATTCAGAACAGTTTGAGATCAGCCAAACAAACAAATATAAAAGTCTCACACAATTCAACTCTTGGGTCGATGAAAAGCTGCAAAAGTCCCTCGTCAGAACTTTGCTCCACAGGACGTGCCGTCCCCTGCGGCTGCAGTTTCACAAGAATCATCTGTTCGGAGTGAGATCGTCGTAGGTTAAAGGTCACGCACGACGTCCATGAGCCTGAGCTTCACACAACGCTGTGGTCAAACCGATCCCACAGTGGGTGAGCTGTGACCATCCCAATGTCCACATCTGGAAAACTGTCAGGGTTAAACCAGTTCTGTGCTGGTTAATGTGGATTAGCTGTGGCAGCCATCTTACATCAGAACGACTCCAAAGGTCGATCTGTGACTCGAGTAGTTTTAGAAAAAATCCTACTCGGTTCATATTTTAGTACAAGACAAAACCATCGTGTCCCACTCTGCTGTGGGTGAGCTCGGCTCGGTCTGCTGGGAGTCCGCGAGGAGCCGTGCCTGTTCTGCGTTAGGAGACGAGGGGCCGCCCAAACGGGCCCAGGGACGGGCCCAGGGACGGGCCCAGGGATGGACCCAGACTTTTCTTGTAATCCAGCACTCGCAGGTGTTCAGAGCCGGTCTGCTCTGCACCTCTGTGCTCCATTGAAGCTGAAAGGATTCCCCATTAGAGTCACTGGGGCCTGCAACCTGCAGCTGTGGGGCCACATGTGGCCCTTTGGTCCCCCCCCCCTCGTGTTTCTCTTTCCCTTATCTACTTTTGTAAGTCTGAAACAGGTCCCTCTTGGAAATGAGTCGTTGAGGCTCAGTGGGAGCTAAGCTGTATAAATGAAGGTTGGATGAACGGTTCCTCTGCAGCGGCTCTTTCAAGCTTTAATTAAAACATAAAACTGAATTTTAATGGTTGTTAAACAACAAAACAGTGTTTGTTTGAGCAGTTCTGTCGTTTCTTTTGCAAATACTCTTTAACGTTTTGCTTTATTTCTATGCTTCATTTTCCCCCCACAATTAAAAACCACACGGGTCTGCACAGTTCATAGTTTTATTTTATTTAAAAAACTATCCCCCACCCCTTTACAAGAATCTGATCTTTTCATTTGTCTCCAATTGTTAATAATAAATGTTAAAAAAAATCACGATACTTTGAGACGTCACCTACACTGACCACACCCGTCTGCTCCAACAAACCTAACGAGGCCCACGGGCCACCACTCGATCATCACAGTAGCAGCATGTTGTTGCTGCGGCTCTGGATACATTTAATTTAGTGGCTGAAGGTTTAAAAATGGCTCTTTTGACCAGACAGGGTGCAGACCCCTCTGCTAGTAGTTTGTTAGCCTCAAGTTCAAGTTCAGTGTATTTGTCATGCGCAGGAGAACACGAGGCTAACGGAACCAGCACATGCTCAGGATGAGAAGAACCCATTTCACTCTTTTAGCTCACTCCCAGTCCAAGTGGCATCTTTTTCTCAAATACACCAATTTTATTTTAAGTTGCTAAAATAAAGAGTCATTATAGCTTTAAATGACAATAATAAAATGTGACGAGTCGTAGTAGCTTTAAATGACAATAATAAAACGTGACGAGTCGTCGTAGCTTTAAATGACAATAATAAAATGTGACGAGTCGTTGTAGCTTTAAATGACAATAATAAAATCTGACGAGTCGTCGTAGCTTT